ACAGTTCTGTATAGTAATGATATTTTTGGTAAAAAAAGAACATTTCTGGTTAATAAAACCAAAATATATGATATTTAAATCAGTTATTTGCGTTATTTTTTCCATTCAAATGGTAACGTGGTTTACGGAAAATTCTAATTTTCAAAATTATAGTTGTTATTACTACACATTTAGTAAAAATTTCAAAACTGAAATGTAAATTTAATTGAATAAATGCTTTTTATGCCATTCTCTAAGGTATCATTATAAAATTACGAAATACTTTCACATCTATCAAATTTTATCACACGTTAAAAAAATAATATTTTATTGTTAATTTTACCAAAATTATTACCAAAGCACTTCGGTAAAAATGTCCTAGCTTTTCGGTACTCCCATTAGAGATAGAGATATAGTAATTTTTACCAGATTCTAGCAGATTCATCGGCACTTTTTTTCTCAGTTTAAATTGATTTTAGCGTTCTTTCCTATTTGGTAAAATTTAAAAATTCTTTGGCCATTATTAAATAATAATTTTTTTAAAGTAATAAAAAAATTATTTCTTGGATGGATTGTCTTGAGATAAAAGAATTTTATAACTATACAATTTTTTGATTCGCTTAAAAATTTCTTTAAGCATGTCCAAATACGCAAAAAGTGAAATTAACATAAAGGGATCTACATTTTTCACTGATATCTTGCCCAAACTTTTGGAACCATATTTTTCAGATTGTGAATACCTCCTATAGTGATTAAATTTGAAGATCACAAATACAAATGCATTGAAAAGAGGTTATGTTTCTGTGTCGGACTTAGTAACTTAAAATATCGTTTGCTTTAATTTAATTAGTAAATGTAAGGTTTGGCTCTCAAACTATTAAGAAAATCTGATCAATAGAACAAAAGTAATTCAGGATATTAACTTTTTCGGTCACATTGTACAACCTATAATTAATCTTTCGTAAAAACCATTGTTACCTGCTTTTCATAGTTATTATAACTACATGAACGCTTTTATTTTAATTATAATTTAGAAGCTTGTGTATTATTAACAATGGGAAATCTTAACTACGAATCAGCATTGATGGAATAAATACAGAGCAATAATATTAACAAATAAATGATACTAGGAGGATTCGCCCCCTGCTCGCTAAAGCTCACCAACCCCCGGAACTGCTTTCGCAGTTCATTTCGGATTGCTTCGCAATCCAATGCTCGCTTTGCTCGCTCATTGGATACGCTCTTAACGTCTAGCTTTTATATACCTTTTTGAATACTGAAGTTCCGAAAACTTTTCATTGTAGAAAATTCTAAACTTGTACATTTCAATATTAATTTGAAATTGCAAACAGTTCACATATTTTTCTTAATCACACTATTCTAAATTTCAGTTGTTGAGAAAAGTAACTGTTGTAAGTTTTGTTTTAAAGTCTTTCCCACCAGAGGGCTAAAGCCATGTGTTGTAAAACAATATGAAATAGTAGTCTGCCACTGAACGCCGGATGTAAAGCATCGGCTTTGATGAAGATAATTTTGTATTTTTAATTCTCTGAAGGGCGCCACCTTAATAATATGGAATTTGTAAAATAAATGTATATATTTTTGATTGTTGATGAAGCCCATCATTTTGTGTTTTCATCAGTGTTCAGAAGCAGAACAACTATAAGTTTTTTATTTTATCACAAAAATATAAAATGTATAAAAAACAAAGAAAAGAGTAAGAAAATGAGTATAGTCATAGAAAAAGTTAAAATTATAATATAGTATTTGTCAGTTAAAATAAAACTTTTTGTTTAAGTCATTGCTAACAATTCAAATTTCTCCGAGGCAATTCTAAAGTATAAATTAAGGTAGTATTGTTAAGTTGAAACACAATATTTTTAGTTTTGATGTCAACAATACAATTCAATTTTTCACAAAAACGATTGTTTCCATTGTTAAGTTCAATGTCAACAATTCAAATTTTTCTGAGGCAACTCTTAACCTCTAAATATTATTTTTTTTATGTACACATTTCTAAATGTCAGTATTCAACCACAAAACAACTTAAAGTCCTCAAATTTAGCATGAAGTTGTAAAATGTAATGAAAGAGGGTCATAGCAATAATGAAAGTAGAAGTAAAGTTAGTACTGTAAAATTAAAACAATATTTTTAATCAATGAGCCAAGTTCTTCAAGAAGCAGTTGTAGAAGTAGGTTGTTTATTTAAAACTTTTTATAGAATTTCTTTAAGAACACAATTGTTAATTTGGGCATTTGGCGATACAACACTTTTAGAATTGAAGGATTTGTTACGTCAAGCGCTCAGGTATCATAATTTTGATCTAGTTGCGCTTCTATGTCATTTTGATTTATGTTGCTAAGTTAACTTTCAAAAAATTCTATGGCTGGCAACAGCATTTTTATTTTTTAAGTTGTTTATTTTTATTTCTTTTAGAATTCGTTATTTTTTTAGCGAAATGTTTTTTAACCTAACAGAATTCTTTGCCGACTGTTTTCTCTATGAATGAAGAAAATAAAGTAAATATTTAACTGTTGTGAAAAGAATCTTATTTAGTTGTACAAAGTACTTCAGCCAAAATTTGGGAGCCACGTAAGAGAATTATATATATTAGATCAGAAACACATCATTAAAAGGCAGAATGCTTTGATGTTTTCAAAACGTAAACAAAACAAAGCAAACGTTGCCACCGGCGGAAAAGAAATACAGCCAAAATTTGGGAGCCACGTAAGAGAATTATATATAATAGATTATGTGGATTATTAACCATCTCAGAATTATAAGAATTTATTGTCAAATGCATGCACTTTAACACGTTATTTTAAAACTATGTTATAAACTTTTATATTAATTATTTTCTTCAGTACAGTGACGAGAGCAAATAATTTTTTAATTAAAATGTCTAACTATTCGAATAAAAAAATACGGCAACTTTGTTTAATAAATTCTTATTTCCACATAAATTCAATAATATTGATTAAGCCATTTCAAATATAATGAATATTCTTTTTTCCCCTCTTCCATCCGTGCCGTTTATTTAACACCGCCTGTCATCTTGGCGATTTTCGTCAAAATTTGAGATGCGCTTAATCGATATTTTACGGAATTTCTAATCAAATATTTATATGCACAGGCATGTCGGGCCATACAGTTTTCGAGCACTATGAGGCCACGCTATTAAGGCCATCTGACATTTTTCTTCAAAGAAGCTAATGATGCTACTAGAGGGCTAGTTAAGTGTTGGCATGTTTTAGAAACTTTATACCATGTGCACGGTAGTCTGAACATAATATATCTTAGCATCATTGTAGACCTAGCACATCCTGTAATTCTGATAATTTTCTCAATAGTCCATTCAATACATTGTAAAAAAATCTTGTAAAAATTACGTTTTAAAACCGACAGTTATGTTTTGTGCGAAATCGTAAATTTTACCAAATAAATCCGTACTCTCAACGGTTTTTCAGCAAACAAGAACAAGTTTTTTCCTAAACAAAAATTGCGATGAAAATCCTTAATCAGATTGGTTATTTACAGTAACAATACTAGTTTTTACGACAAAAATAAAACGGTTTTTTCAACAGATATTGTCTCTGTGAAAGATAAGAAGTAAATCTGTACTCGCATTATACTTGAATATTTTGTTTCGTCGGAATTTGAATTGACTAATTAACACTGGATATCGAACGTGTGTCTCTTCATTGAGAAGAGCGTGTTCTGTCCTCTGAGCCACTGCGGCTCAAATATTTATTATGAAGAAATTGTGATTTTGAGAATTTCGTATCAATTTGACAATAAAGTTGAATCGCAGTTTTTTTTATACTGGGATCAAAAACGTAATGTAATTGTTAAAAATTAAAGGCAAGTTTAGAAAATAACCGTAAAATGATAGAAGAAAAGGTGAAGTTTCGGAACGCAAAACTACATGGCAAAAGCTGAAATTTCAACTAACGGGTTTATTCCGTTAGTGAATATGGTGAAAAACGGGGAAAAACCGTTTTGTCAACAAAACGGCTTCAAGTCGTTACACATGAGGAGGAATTTTCAAAAAATAGTGGGCATTTTTTACAGTGCAAAACAGTGCGTCCTGTCATATTTCTGGCATTGTAAAGTGTCGGCTAAAGTAGTGTAATGGAGACCAATTCGTTGCACTATCACCCATATCACATATATTTCAATTCTATCTAGCATTTGAGGGTTGAAATTGAATGAATTATCACGCTGTTATCTAGAAATAGTGACTCACAATAGGAAAGTGATCTGAACTTTCCACAAACGACCAACCAACATTACGTAGAGTACCATTACCAAGAAAAAGAAAGGCTGTATTAAAGGAAAAGTGTGGCTGAATAATACATTGATAGAGGGAATACTAAAGTTACTTCACAGTCTATGGAAATTATATGATATTCTTTTTTTTTTGTAATCAAAATGCACTGAGAAAAAGAAGTATGGTCAAGACTACCAGAATATGGTTAAATTCACAGTGCCTCTGGCTCTATGCACCAAAAAGCTTGGACATATGTAAGGTTTGGATCTCAAATATTAGGCAAAACACCAGACACCAAGCTTAGACAAAAAACCAAAAAGCTTAGTAATTTTGACCGAAGAGCATTTCGGTTAAATTAACCATAAATTGTAGTGTTATAGTATATGATAAATTTAGTAAACGTGGCAAAATTTAGTAATTTTATCATATTTCTTAGATGATGGCATAAGAAACATTTATTCAGTTAAATTTACCTTTCAGCTTTGTAATTTTAATTAAATGCTTGGTAATAAGAACTATAATTTTGTAAACCAGAATTTCCAGTAAATAGTTACCTCTTGAACGGAAAAACTACTAAATGAAATGGTTTATAAATACCGTTTTTTTAAAAGCCAGAACTGTTGTTTTCTATCAGTGTCGTTACCATATAGTACGGTAATTTTACCAGAATTTTTTTTCTTAATGTGGTAAATAAAAGCTAGTTGCTAGAAAATACCGATTTTTTTAAGAGTACAGAACTCGTGTACTTACAGTTGTTGTGAAGTTTAAGCATTCATTATAATTAGTCCAGTTACCCCACAGCCATTTCCCGTCTTCATCACAAATTCTGTAGGCTCTAGCTTCTAAAAAGTAATTAACATAATTAGGATCAATATGGGCAAAGAAAAATGAAATTGGATAGCTAAGTAAATTAGTAAATATAGAACATAAGGATGTATACTAGTGTTAAATGAATAATTCCAAGAAACTGATGGGAAGAGGTATAATTGATTATACACATAAGAATATTGTTAATTATTGATTTGTTCTAAAAATATGAAGGAGGAAAAAGTAGACATATTTCGAGCTCTTAAACGTCTCATGACTCTTATGAGAATGGGCGTCGATTTTTAAGCTGCCTAAAAATGTCAAAATTTTTCACATTTATAATTTTTTAAGCAAGTCTACCTTTTGTTAAAGCCAAACCTTGCGATTTTTGCTGCATTTTTTTGTTTTGCTTATAAATAATGTCACACTTTCTTAAAAATTATTCTTCCCCTTTCTCTTTTCGTCACAAAATGTTACCCTTTACACACCCACGCACCCCTTTTTACACTTTATGCTGTATTGCATAAATATATACGTTATAGATCATTTTTCAATTTTTATTTTACTATATCACATTAATAAATTTTATTTTTAGACCATTTAAGGATCATCAAAAGGTAAGAACAGTTTTATCTTTTTTAAATGAATGTGAGATTAAAAAATAGGGAAATAAATAACACAAAAACACGTAATTTGCCTCGCATTGAATGTTTTTATTTCTATCAAAATGCATGATGTCATACTTCCAGTTAATCATTATCCGTTTTTCACTAAGTCACAACTTAATGAACTCCTACCTCCTCAGAGAAGGAAATCATTTGTGGACAGCCCCTGGCATATCTTAACCGGTAATTTTTAACGAAGTCCACTTAACCATTTGTCGCTGAAGTCCACTTGTTGTTTAATCGCTAGAATGATTTTCGAAAATCAAGATTTTAATCTTTGCGTTGCTTGAATAACTTCACTTTTTTGATAATCTTTTTTACTATTTTCAAGCAATTTTCGTTTATTTGTTTTGCTTTTATCATTGTACTCGTTTTTTTCAGACGTTGATTTCTTATAAGTTTGAAGCTAATCTTTATTTTTTATATACATAACCATTAATGAACAGCCAAGTCAATTTTGAGTTTACGACTTCTGATGTTCAATTCCGTAGTTTTGAACACAATTTTGAACCCAATCCAGATGACAAGGGAATTCCTGGGTCAAGTATCGGGAGAAATTTATCTTCGTGAAAGGCATTTTGATGGAACTAAACAACATTTGCTGTACATGGAAAGGAAAACCATGAACACCAGCCACAGTTAGCCTAATCGCAAGAGAATTCTTACATAAGATCCGTCTATCATTGAGGATATTTTACGTCAGCACTGTGGAAGGTGCGAACCGGGTGCGGAATTCGTATTGACCAGCCATCACTTGGATTCGAACTCTGTTCGCTTTATTGGAAGGCGAACGCTCTATCCGCTAAGCTACCAAGGCTCAAAGTGCATATTTATTTATATTTTATAACAGTCATTGAAAAGCCGATCCAATTTTTAGGTTTACGACTACTAACGTTCAACTCCGTAGCCTTGTAGTTTTGAATCTAATCCAGAAGTCAAAGGAAAGAAAGGAAGAAATTTGCCTTCATGGAGGACTTTTTGAAGAAATTAACCTTCATTTGCGGTACATAGAGAGAATAACCGTGAAAACAACCCACGTTTAGCCAGATGGCAAGGGGATCTAACCCATGATCCATCTACTACTGAGGATATTTAACGTCAGCATCTATGGTAGGTGCAAGCCGGTTGTCTAATTCGCATCGACAAGTTATAGCTGGGATTCGAACCCGGTTCACCTCATTGGGGAGCGAGTGCTCTACCCCCTGAGCCATGACAACTCAAGCTGTCCTTTGATGAATAAATTTCTTAAATCTTAATATGCAAAACAACATTTTCAAATAAAAATAATTTAAAAGGAAAAAGTATTGAAATAGACAACATAAATGATTTTAATGAACAGTATTTGAAATTAATCAGACTTATTTTATATGAAATAATTGGTATTCATTTAAAACAATATAAAAACATATATTTATTGATATAAATAAGAAGACAAAACAATTCAAAAAAGTCCATTGTGCTCCATTAAAAAACGTGTATTGAAGTTAGTACAAATAATGCTAAAAATGATTTTAGAATAATAATTAGAACTAAATCCTTTTCATAAGCTAAAAACGCTTTTAAACACAAGCCAAATATATTTGGTTTTCAAATATAACTAAAATTTTCAAATTATACATTAGATGAAAGATTATACTTTTAATTTTTAATATTTATATCAGCATATTTAGATTTAAAAAAAAATTAAACTGAAATATAATTTATTTTTCAATTCCATTAGCACAAGAAAAATGTCTATAATGATGTTATAAAAAATTAACGGTGCAGAAGTAAAGTAAAGAATAAAAAAATTAGATTCCATTTTTAAAAAAGAAATCGATTCTAATCTGCAATCTAAAAACTAGATTCGAATAAATTATTCTCTTATTTAAAGAAAGTTTAAAAATGCATTAAAATTATATTTGGGTTTAAACTAAAGCTAAAACCCTCAAAGTATGCATTAGATAAAAAAAATATTTTTATTTAAAAAAATTATTATATGTTTATGAAAAAATTTAATGCTTCTAATAAAATAAATACTTTAAAAATAGGCAGCTTAATTTGCGGCAGTTATATCTAAAAAATATGTTTAAAAATTTATATATATAGAAAAAATCCATTTGCAAAATATGAAAATTCAATTTGTGAGTTACTTTGATTTCGTGTTTTCACTTCAAAATTTTTCCTACATCTACGTGAAAAATGTTAAAAAGAAAACCTTCTTTTACTTGAATTTATGTAAAAGAAATAGTTGTCAAAAGAAGCATGTTTTCGTAAAGAAAAGTTTTTTTTTAAGCAAATCCAAATCTTAAAATCATATTCTTTCGCTTACAAGCCAATTTAAAATATTTCGTCACACAAAAAAAATAAATGAGCGATTTTTAGATTATTTATAGAGATAAAAATAAGCAAAAATACTTTTTTAAAAGCAACAAAATTTTTTTTTCTTTCCAGAAGAGCTTTTTTTTTTTTAAAAAAAAAACTTTGATAAACTATGTTAGAGGATGAAAACTATAAATAAGTTCATTTTTCTTTTCTATCAAACAACCATAGCAAATTGATAAATATAGATTTTTTCTACGATTTGCAACTGAATTTCATATTGGATAGCAAACTTTTTCAAGTTTTTAAAAATTGCCAGGAGATATTTATATCAATTACTTTTTATGTCAAAATGCATGGGAACGAAATCTTTTTTTATTCAATTTGTTTGTTGTGATTTTATTCAGCATTTCATAAAAAAATATTCTGTTTGATATAATTTAGATACCATTGAAATATTAAAAGTCTTTCTTTACTTTGAAAATGGCCTTAAAATATGAATTCCTTGGCGTTCGCTTTGGAAATATTTGCACAGGAAAAAACTTAAAAATCACCTAAGGAAGAACTGTTTAATATAAATATTTAAGATCTTTCAAATTGAAAAAAATATATACAAACTGAATACGAAACTGGATCTATACATTATGAAAAAAACACTATGGTTATAATTTCCAGACTATGATTAAATTTACCGGGTGTCTGTCTCTATGGAAACTCCAAAAACCTAGGTAACTTTTACCGAAGGATTTTAGTAATGATTTTAGTAAAATCAGCAATAAAATATGGCATTATAATGTGTGATAAAATATGGTAAATGGGGAAAAATTCAGTAATTTATCATGATACTTTAGAGCATGGCATGAAAAAAAGCACTTTTAAAGGTTAAATTTACTTTTCAGTTTTGTATTTTTTACAAAATGTGGGTTAATAGGAACTATACTTTTATAACTATAATATAAGCCAAAATTTTTGATTAATTATTACTTTATGAACGGAAGAATTACCACATGAGTGGTTTAAATACCGCTTATTTTGGTTTTATTAACAAAATTTTTTTTTATATGTCTAAGTCATTACCATACCGTTCTGTAATTTTACAAAACGTTGTTTTTCTGTTTAGAGTAGATTAAGAGCAGGAAAATGTAGAAAAAAGAAGAGCAGAAATGATTGTCCGAATTGAGAAAGGGTTAACTTTAGTCTATGCATGTAAGAAAAAGTTCCTAGGGATTTGCTTGATACCCTACCAGCTTTAAATCAGTTGGTATCAGCTTATCTCAGAAGTTAGGATTCCTCTGATCTTTGCCGACTGTATTGCCGCAAATCATGCCGTTGGTCACGAAATTGTGGAGTTCTAACCTTCACGACCATCCTGAGTACAGGTACTTTTTACCGTAATTTGAACCGGAATTTTTACAGTATATAAATTTTTTTTATCGTTGTCAGCGGTGTTCCGTTGATGTGTGTGCCTTACTGTTTATTATACTTATTATGGATTAAGTTTGACCCTTGAAAAAATAAGCTCAAAGTATTGCTTAAGAAAGGTTTTAGTTGGCAACTATAATGTAAAGGCTAATTAAATAATCAGTTATCACTATATAATACTGGCAATGAAAACGTATTAGAAAGGCCAAAACGTTACGAATATTGTGTCGAATGAATGTTACGAATGTAACGAATATTTAATCTCGCATAAAAGTTTAATTGAAAAGTATAATTACAAAAATAAAAAAATTTTATCAGATAAATTATATTAATACATTGTATCCTCCGTCAGTTATGCCAAATTATCTTTTTGGTTATAAAGACATACACCGAAGAGCCATTACATTATGACCACCCTCCATCTATGACAATAGGCTCTCCCAGGTTTTCATGTTTTCTCGCCCAGGAACAATGTTTTCATGGGGCACATTAGGACCCATAATCCTCATAGAACAATTCCTGACGTTTGTAATCTACTTGAACATAGTTGCAGACCAGATTCACCCATTCATGGCAACAGTTTTTCCTGCCTGGGGATGGTGTTTACCAACAGGATAATGCATCATGTCATAAGGGTCGAATCGTCA